TTGCCTAAATGTAGAACCTGACTCTTTTCACCATTGAATTCCATTTTATTAGATAGGGACCAATATTCAAGTTTGTCAAGATCCTTCTGTATCTTGAGCCTGTCTTCTGGAGGGTCGGCTATTCCTACCAGCTTGGTGTCATCTGCAAATTTGATGAGTTCCCCATTTATTCCATCGTCCAAATCATTGATGAAGATGTTGAAGAGTCTTCATCAATGACTTGGATGAGGGAATAAATGGGGAACTCATCAAATTTGCAGATGACACCAAGTTGGCAGGAATAGCCAACTTGTCTGAAATGGTATAGGGTTTCCTACTTGGGTAGGAGGTTGGACTAGAAGACCTTCAAGGTCCCTTCCAATTCTGGTGTTATGGGCGTAACAGCAGCTCACACGTTATGCCTTGTCAAAGCAATGCTCCTTCGTCAAATTACAAATATTCACAAGCGCACTGCAGGGAAATTAATGTCTCAGAGCTGGGCCCACTGGAAAATGGGGGGGGGGGAGAATGGATTTGTATTTAGATTGACAAAGACGGCTTCCAAACGGAAGCAGGTGTTGGGAAGGTGCGTTAAAATTTATGAACTCGCAAACGCACCAATATGGCCAATTAAGTTTTATCATCATTGTCAAGGATCTGACTGCTTTTTGGAGCAGATGTATTAGAAGATGGTGGGGACCTAGCTTGTTTCTTTCCAGCTGGGGAGCAGCCTGTCACCCCACAAAAGCAGGCTTCGCGTTTAAAAAGATTGGAAGTTGCAAGGGTCAGATTTCCTTAGGCTTTGGTTGGGATACACAACCGGGCCCAACATTTCTGTCTCTTGAGCAACACAGTTAAGTGAGGTTTGCCTCGTTTGGCCACTTTCCTTGCCATATTTGTTAAGTGAATCACTGCCGTTGTTAAGTTAGTCACATGGTTGTTAAGTGAATCTGGCTTCCCCCCGATGACTTTGCTCATCGTTAAGGTCACCAAAGGGGATCGGGTGATGGCGGGACGTTCGTCATAAATATGAACTTGTTGCCAAGTGCCTGAACTTTGATCGTGTGATTCACGGTCGTTAAGTGTGAAAAATGGTTGTAAGTCACTTTTTTCAGGGCCTGTTTTAACTTTGAACGGTTTACTCGAGGAAGGGCTGTAAGTCAATGTCTTCCTGTGTTTTGGGCCAATGACGAGGTTGGAGCACTCGTGATGGCGTGGGCTAGAAACACCTAGAAGGATCCAGAAAAATGTCCAAATCTAAATCCTCGGCAATATTATATGGATGTAGTATCCAAAGTTCTTGCTGAAAATGTGCTTTTGAGTTAAAAGAAAAACAAGCATCAAGATTTATCTCTTGCCAAAAAAGAGTTTTTCCATTCTAAAGGCTTGGTGTTAAGCAAGCCAAAATTCCATTTCTTCCACCCACAGGTTTGGGGAATATATATATATATATATTTAATTAGGTAAAGGTTCCTCTCGCACATCTGTGCTAGTCGTTCCCGGCTCTAGGGGGCGGTGCTCATCTACCTTTCAAAGCAGAAGAGCCAGCGCTGTCCGAAGATGTCTCTGTGGTCATGTGGCCGGTGTGACTCAACTCCCGAAGGCGCACGGAACGCTGTTACCTTCCCACCAAAAGTGGTTCCTGTTTTTCTACTTGCATTTTTGACGTGCTTTCGAACTGCTAGGTTCAAAAGTCACAGGAGTTCACTCCATTATGCAGCGCTAGGGATTCAAACCTCCAAACCGCCGACCTTTTTGATTGACAAGCTCAGCGTCTTAGTCACTGAGCCACCATGTCACAATTCAGGTAACACCATCAAGGCACAGAAAAGCTATTTCTAGTTGGGGGTTTTTGGGGGGGGGAGGGGAGGGGTCTGCTGGTCGCTCAGTGGGCAACCAGGGGTAACCGGTGCAAGACAGCAAGGCTGAGCCCTCAGCGCCTCCTTGGCTGAACCCAGGGGTAGGAGAGCAACGTCTAATCTTGAGTGATTTGGGTGTAAGCTGGCAAGGTGAGAACCTGGCAGCTGGGTGAAGCCAGCTGCGCAAGCCTGCCTCTTGCCACCTTCTGACGTGAAGGATCCGAGCAAAAGTGATGAGAAATTTAGGCGGAGCCCGGCAGGAGCCAGCCTCCCAAAACAAGCCTCCTTACCACTTCGTCTTCCGTCCAGCATTTCTCGATCAGTTTGGGGACGGGCTTCCTCACCAGACGCTGGAGGGCCTTCCCGGCATCGTAGTTGCTCTCGTGTAGCTGCAAGAGAGGAAGAGAGAATAAGAGGGAGGTCGGTGGAAACGATGCTAGAGAGACATGAATCCTTTTTCCTGAAACAGAACCGAAGCGGAAAGCTTAGCGCCTCAAGTCGAAGACCGTTTTGGGTTCTGAAGACAAAGCCACATTTTCCCCGATTCTTCCCACGTTGTCTGCCTGAGAGCCGAACTCCACACACACACACCCCACTCATTCCTATGACTCAGCGGCAGTGGTGAGATTCAATTTTTTTTACTACCAGTTCTGTGGGCGTGGCTTGGTGGGTGTGGTGTGGCTTGGTGGGCGTGGCAAGGGAAGGATACTGCAAAATCTCCATTCCCACCCCACTCTGGGGCCAACCAGAGGTGGCATTTGCCGGTTCTCCGAACTACTCAAAATTTCCGCTACCAGTTTTTTGAACTACTCAAAATTTCCGCTACCGGTTCTCCAAACTACCTCCTCTTACATTACTAGGCAACACAGCATCAACAGTAGAGACTTTCAAGTTTCTAGGTTCTATCATATCTCCAGACTTAAAATGGACCCCTAACATCCAAAATGTCATCAAAAAAGCACACCAAAGAATGTTCTTTCTGCGCCAACTCAGGAAGCTCAGATTGCCCAAAGAGCTGCTGATTCTGTTCTACAGAGGAATGATGGAGTCTTGTCCTCTCCACCTCCATAACTGTCTGGTTTGGCTCTGCAACCCAACAAGACAGACACCGACTTCAGAGCAGAGATGAAATCCAGCAGGTTCTGACAGGTTCTGGAGAACTGGTAGCGGAAATTTTGAGTAGTTCGGAGAACCGGAAAATGCCACCTCTGGCTGGCTCCAGAGTGGGGTGGGAATGGAGATTTTGCAGTATCCTTCCCTTGCCACCCCCACCAAGCCACACCACGCCCACCAAGCCACA